CAGCCACTGTTGAAACTGATCAGTTTCAGCAGCGGCTGAATCTGGACGCCAGTTCCGACTTACATACAGATTCAACTTAAGAACAAACCTACAGTCCCTATCTTGTACGTAACCCGGGGACTGCCTGTATTTACCCTTTGAAAACAAATAAAATCAATCAGTATGAAACAATGAAAAACTATACTGATACATAAGCATAATTTCAAAACTGGAAAAATGACCCAACATGAATATACAAAATTTTGTCCTTGTATTCTATTATGGGTCTGTTCATTTTATAAAGAAAAAATTATATTAAGGCAGTCTTAATCAGATATTTTTAAAATTAAAATGATCAAACCATCTACTTAACATCCCTCCATGATCCACACAAAAAAGGTAAAAAAGCGTAAGTGGCATTGAGAGAGCAATTAAACTGATATCTTTCTATTCTTATGAAAATGTCTTAAGTTTTTCCACCCCATAATGGAAAAAAGGATTTAACTTGACAACTTATTTTACTGAAAGCATGTCAAGTCAATCAATACAAGCCTGATCAAAAATTCAAATGAAGCGCGGATTTACAAATCTCACGCTTCATTTGTATAATTGTTTGAGCGCTGTTTCGAAAAAGAAGCCACGGCCTAGATGGGGTTCTTCTGAAACAAACAAACCCAAACAAACAAAGCCACTTTTTTGAAAGAATCTGTACTCTTGGAAAAAATGAGGAGTATTGGTTTTCTTTAAAAATCCCCCCCCCCCCCCCCCAAAGAACCTGTCTAGACTGTGGTTTCTTCTTTGAAAAACCCTTTTTTCGAAAAGGCACTCTCACGCGATTGTACAAATGAAGCACGAGACTTGTAAATCCGCACTTCTTGAATTTTCAATTGAGCTCATTTACATTCAAAATTAATCAAACTAACATGTAGCCACCACAGTGATACAATCAGTTTATAATGTCCATACTACACTCTTTGTATCAACAATGCACATCCTCACCAGGAGTGCCTGCACTTATTTAATTGCCAGTGGGAGACATTCTGGGATGGTTTCTGAAAGGCAGCAACTGTCTATGTAAGTAATTCTGTGTTTACACTAAATACATCATTGATCTAATAAAATGTTTCTTAAACTGTGTTCCATGTGTGCCACAAGGCAGTCGGATGTGTGCCATAGAGAACAAGAGTCCAAAATGGCTGTCTTTTTGGGGGGGGCTCAATAACCCCCTCCCAAACACACCTTTTTTTGGGCTAAAGAAAAAGAAAAAAAGACACCCCACCTTTGGAGTTCCTCATTAAAAAAATTGTTTCGTGTTCTTTGGTCTTAAAAAGTTTAAGAAACACTGATCTAATACATCAACTTAGATTCTATGTTGTAGTGCCTCTTGTAGTGATGGTAATTAATTTCAGAGAGCAAGATATACTGATGCGAGTAACATTTTAGTGTAGTTGCTTAAGTTTGATTTACATAAATTGCCTTATTGAGACCCAACTCAGCAGGATACACCAGAGATAAGTGTTAACTGACCCCTAACTTCAGGAAACACATTAAAACTTTCTTCAGCCAGAAGAAAGTTATTTTGAAGTCTTGCATGCTAAAGGGTACTTAATTTTTTTGAAATCTGTTTCAAAGATTTCAGAAACAATAGGACTATACCAGATAAATACCAAGCTGTGCTTGGTATTTTTTTCACCATTAACATATGTATACACAGAAAACTTATCCAATTCTTGTGTCTCCAGATCACATAAGACGCAATATGAAACTGTCACAGCTATTGCTCGAATTGTATCTACCATGTCTTGTAAATAAATAAGTCGATAATCCAATCCTTGCAATTAAATTACTTACTTAAATCGTGCAGGTGAAAGTGGAGTTGGAGGAAACATTCCTGGTTCAAAGGAATCAAAATAAGTCACCGTCCAAGAAAAGCTGCAGCACGAGAGCCCTGTCATCAAGGCTAAAACAAACAGACCCCAAAATCCTTGGGAGTAGCGGGAGAAAGAAAAGTTACTATAACACCGAATTTCAGAAGAGTTTCACAGAACACACATTTGCAATATAGCATGAATGTTCTACATCACTGAAACAAAGCATTTCTAGTAAGTCAAGCAGTGTAGCTGCTGTTTGTCAGTTCTTTTGACGACAAAATACTTCCATCCCCGAGCAAGGTTACCTTTGTTGGCAGGAGTTCCTGCTAACAATGCACTATTCAGACTAGTACTTGCCATAGCAAAACTTTTGACTTTCAGGTTTTCTTTTTTTAAAAAAAATACTTGAGGCTAATTTACACTATGCAGCTTTTAGTGGCTGTGTCAATACTGCACTGTCACTAAAAGTCAGCATATGTGAACTTCGAAGCATTTTGCCACCTCTGAGGCTATCCCAACAAGCAGGTTTCACTGTGTCAGGAAGAGAGCAGTCCTGTCGACAAAGCAGCATTCACAAGTGCACTTGCTGCAGCAAAACTTTGTCATTCACTGTTTTTTAAAAGCATATGTGAACAACAGAAGTTGTTGAGAAAGTGCAGACACAGCCTGAAAGATAAAAGTTGTGTCGTTAAATTGTCAGTGTACACATAGCCTAAGCCTCTGGCTAAGGCCACGCAACAGGGGATGAATTACTAAGTATCCTTTTCTGTTCATTCCCCACTAAGCATCCTGTATTGGCTACTGTAGGAAGACAGAACACTGGGCTAGAGGGACCAGTGGAACCTCAGATACACAAAGTTACATTCATATTGGCAGGGCTCAACAAATCCGCTCGCCCATGGCGAGTAGATTTTGGCAGCTGGCGAGCTGTGATGGGGCTGAGCCGCCCCGCGTCCTGCGATGGGAGCGGGGCCACATGAGGGCTTAGGGCGGGGCCAGAGTGTGCATGCGTCCTGACATCAGGGGGAGAGGTGCCGGTGCAAGAAAGCGCCGCAATCAAAAGGAGAGCAATGGAGGAAGGCAGAGGGGAGAGGAGACGGAGGAGAGTAACGGAGGGAGAGGGGAGAACAGAGGAGCGAGCTAGAACACTGTAGTGGGTGGAGGAGTGAAGGGTGAGAGCCGAGGAGGACAGGAGACAGAGGAGGTCAGAAAAGGCAAGAGGGAGACGGGGAGTGGAGCAGGGAGCAGGGAGCAGAGCACGGGGGCAGAGGAAGTGAAAGGAGAAGCAGAGTAGGTAGCAGCCCAGGACGGGGCTCTTTAGTGTCTCTGCTCTTTCTATAATTTGTTGAGCCTTGAATATTGGTCAACTGGACACCATGTGGACACAGCTTCCTGCTGGGACTCCCGCCCTCCCGCATACAGGGGCTGTTAGACCTGGTGCGAGGCAGGACTAAGGAGGTTAAGGACTAGTCGATCCTCCCCTCCCCCTTGCTGCCTCGATCAGATAGAGGCAGCAAAGGGGAGGGAAGGGGGTACTTCAAAGGGGCAGTGCTGAATGGAGCACAGGCTCAGCTGGGAACTCCAGAACAGCATTTAAAGTGCACAGAGCTTGGGAGTCCCCAGCTGATCCCGCGTTCTGGGGAAATGTGGAGTCCCTTGCTGACCCCAAGACTCCAAGCGGGTGCTGCCACTTTGAAATGCACAAGAACCTCCAAGGAGCCCAGAGTCAGCGGGACTTCCCACTGGCCCCGGCACACAGAGTTTCAATTCTGAAATGTGTAAGAGGCCCAGCGGAGGCTCTTGCACATTTCAAAGGAGGAATGTGGAAGTGTCCATCAACTACTCAACTGGTAAATTAATTGAAACAAAATACAGGACTATGTAGCACTTTAAAGACTAACAAGATAGTCTTTAAAGTGCTACATAGTCCTGTATTTTGTTTCAGCTACACCAGACTAACACGGCTACATTTCTATCATGGTAAATTAATTGTTATTTAACATTTTTGGTCAGGATATTAATTTCTTCTGTATTCCAATATATGCTGAGAAATATGTGCTTAACATAAAAGTTTCTTCTGAGTTTTACATGATTGGATTCTGGCCAGCCAAGATACTCTCCATTGCCTGTTATGTGGCAGTTATGGTTAGGAGAAGCAATCAAGTAGACACACGCTTCTGGCATTTGTCCAAAGAATCTGAATATTTACTCTAGTTGGCTGTTATAAATAACAAAGTGTTTTTAGTCTCCTCTGAGCTGCAGGAGCTCTGAAAGAACCATATGAATGCATACCTAACAAGCCAGTTTCTATGCCATCTTCATTTTTCTCTTTCTCAGAGCGCAAATCTACAGAGAGAGAGAAATGAGTTATGAAGCATTTTCTAACACAGCAATTTTAGAAACCACCACTCAGCAGGGGCTCACTTTGCTGCATCTCCTCAGCAAAGTCTAAGGACACCAGCTCAGAAAACACTCAGCTTAAAAAAAAGGAGCCAGGAGATCTGGGCTACATTCCTACTTAAACCAGGCTCGCTACCATGAGAGGGCCAGCGTGGCCAAGCCCACCCATGGTGTATAGGGCAGGCCCCCCCGGAGGGAGGGAGGGGCTGAGCTCCAGCAAATACACTCTCCCCTCTCCTCCTGCTTCTTCGCCAGGCCCGCGCCTTCCACCGGGGCAGCCGCGGCGCTCGGACG